TTTTAGACCTGTTTTAGTTCTAGTTTAGATCTAGTTTAGTCCTGGTTTAGTCCTGGTTTAATCCTGGTTTAGTCCTGGTTTAGACCTGGTTTAGATCTAGTTCAGAACTGGTTTAGTTTCTGGCAATGAGTGGAATTACCGGGGGAAAAAAAAAAAAAAAAGGGGGATATAGCCCAAAATGTGAAAACAGGAAAATACCGCAGTGTAATCCATTTATTTCAAGAAAGTAACTGTAATCCCATTACCACTCACTGAAACAGTAACTGCAACTGAATACATTTACTCATGATTTATACTCTGATTACATAACACCGGTACATGTAATCTGTTACTCCCCAACACTGACTAAAGGTAAAAAGAAGCTGGATTAGAGCATTTTGAGTTTTGGAGATGTACAGACTAATAATAAAGGATCATTCAAACATGTGTGAATGAAACAAAACACAAGTCCAGGTCTGTTTTTGAGGAGGTCACATCATTATAACATGACTTAAAATTCATAAGCCTCAAGTATGTGTAATATAGAAAATGTAAACTTGATTGATTTGATTATTTGTAGAGTAGCTTGTGTACAGGACAGGCTACAAAGACACACACATACTACACACTAAACATGTAATAAAGCATAATTACATCACTTTTATAGGATTTCTGTATGTTTCTGAAACTGGGGAGGAAAAAAAACATTGAAATTTCCAACCAAGGCAACTGTAAAAAGTATGGAAAGCAATGAATCATAGCACACGTTCTGTTTATAAGCGTGTAAAATAACTCTAACGTCATAAAGTCCATGAATGAAGAAGTGCAGAGGAAGTTTTTACATTTACATAATTTTGAAGTAGGAATTCTGGTTGTTTTTGATTTTGTCTTTGTAGTTGTAGAGGTGTAGGACATTGTTTCCCAAAAACTGAGTCGAGATTTGTTTTTGGGTCGCCTCGGACATGGATCTGTTGACCTTTTTGTTATTTTCATGAGAATCTCCTGTCCTCAGAAGAGCCAGTGTTTCCATGATTATTCCTTTCACTATTTACTACATATTTGTTTGAATTTGGATTTTCTGTGCTCACAAAAATGAAGACAAACACAGAAACAGACTGAACGCTGTGTCTGATCTGCTGCTGCGCTCTCCTCCTGCACCTCGGACTGAAACACGCTGCAAAAACCCAGACAGGTCCACCTATCTCATTAGAAATGTTAAGACATGTTTTGTATAATTTCTCATCTTTTTGTAATTATTTTATGGACTATTTTTTGAGCTAGGAAGCTGAGAATTTGTATTATTGTAGATTCTTGGGCATAGATTCTGTGTCTGTTGTCAAATATTTGGGACCTTTATTAAGGGGGGCGCTGTGGGACCCCAAACTCCCGCATTTAGTCCGCCAAGGAGGTTATGTTTTTGCCGGCGTTTGTCTGTTTGTTTGTTTGTCTTTTAGCAAAATAACTCAAAAAGTTATGGACCGATTTTGATGAAATTTTCAGGATTTGTTGGAAATGTGAAAAGGAAGAACTGATTTCATTTTGGGGGTGATCCGGAAGAAATCCTGGATTCTGGATCACTTTGAAATTTTAGTTAACATTGTGGTAAATGGGGCCAAAAATTTTGTTTCTCAATATCTCGGTTCATTATTGACCAAACCCCATGAAATTTGACTCAGGGATGGACAATGGGATCCTCTTTCATATTCCAAAGGCTGATCCAGATCTGATCCAGAAGACTGATTTTATCGCAATTTATATAAAAAATGGGGGTAGTCCTTGGCGGAGGTCTGCGCTCTCTGAGTGCTTTTCTAGTCTAGTTTTTTGTTTTGTTTAGTTTTTTTGAGGTCCAAGATCTATTTACTCCAAGCAGATATTTACAAACTAACAGCTGAACCTGAATATTTCAGACAATGACCATTTCTGACAACAATCTCACTCTTTTCTGAGTTTTCATGTGGACGGTGTAGAGCCCCAAATATGGTCACAAACCAAATGTGATCTTTTTGGCCCCTTCTTTGGACCCTCATTTCCCCATGTGGGCACAGTTAGATGTTGATCAAATTTTTACCAGAGAAACTTTGGCATTTTCTGATTAGTTTAAAGTAATAAAAACATCTACTATTCACTTCCTTCATTTCAAACTGAATTTTTGAAAACGAGCTCTCACGGGTCATTTTTGGTGGAGTTTAGGTACTTTTCCACCTCATAGAAAACTTAAATTACCTTTAATAGCCTTAAACACTATTTGCTTGTCTATAAGGGAAGACAATTGGAGATTATTTGTGGTTCATTGCTTGGAAAAGTGTCATTAATCCTTTGAGAAAATTCAACTATTAACTTCGTACAAAATTATGATCTGTTGCTGCGCTCTCCTCCTGCACCTGGACTGGAACGAGCTACAAAAACCCAGACAGGTCCAACTATCTAAATGTTAAGACATGTTTTGTATAATTTCTCATCTTTTTGTAATTATTTTATTCACAATTTTGTTCCAATATTGCTGGTTCAATTGAATGTTGAAAAGAAAAAGAACTGGGTTACATTTAATGTCCAAATAGGCGACTTATGGATCCTTTTATTGCTGCTTCAATTACTGTTTTTCATTGTTTAAAACTTGAGTAATACTAATTTTTCAGAGAGACATGATAAAATATCCTCATTAATGTTTAATAATGATCAAATCCACCTTTATTTTGTGATTTACGAATAATGTTTATTGACTTGGGTCGTAAAGGTTTGTGACTTTTAAAATATGGGTCCCGAGAAAAAAAGTTTGGGAAACACGCTTCTTTGGATAAAGGTTCTAGATTGCTTAAAAAATGTACTTATATTGTTGTTACTTCATCAGAAACAAAGCTGGAGTTGTGTTTTGTTTCATTCACACATGTTCAAGTGATCCTTTATTATTAGTCTGTCAACATCTAAAAACCTCAGACTGCTCTGTTCCACTTTGTGATGTCATGAAGCAGTAGTTTTCAAGTTAACAGCTCCTTTTAACTTTTTTTAAGTAGAGATCGGCAATTCCAGGGCTGAAATTATGTAAATGACTAGTGAAGGTGTATGATATTTAAAACTACACTGGAGCACTTGTTGTATTACCACGTTTGAGGGAAGAACTCAGCCTAAATGTGCAGGATTTGTGTGTTAAACATGTGTGAATGAAACAAAACACGACTCCAGGTGTGTTTTTGATGAACAAACGCAATTTAGATCAGAAAATAGTGTAATACTGTCCCTTTAATTGAAAATGTTGAAGTGAATGTATCTAAATCAGACATGTCAAACTCAGGCCTGGGGGTCAAATTTGGCCCGTGATATAATTATATTTGACCCGCGAGATCATATCAAATACGGATTAGAGCTGCCCGCCGGCTACAGATAGACTATAGACAGTGTTGGGCAGGATATTTTTAAAATGTATTCCCCCTACAGATTACAGATTACATACCCCAAAATGTAGTTTGTAACGGAATCCATTAAATTACTTAAAGTGAGTAACGTAATCTGAATACTTTGGATTACTTGATTGTTTAGTCCTGGTTTAGACCTGGTTTAGTCCTGGTTTAGTCCTGGTTTAGACCTGGTTTATACCTAGTTTAGACCTGGTTTAGTCCTGGTTTAGTCCTGGTTTAGTCCTGGTTTAGACCTAGTTTAGACCTGGTTTAGACCTGGTTTAGTCCTGGTTTACACCTGGTTTACACCTGGTTTACACCTGGTTTACACCTGGTTTAGTCCTGGTTTACCTGGTTTACACCTGGTTTAGTCCTGGTTACCTGGTTTAGTCCTGGTTTACACCTGGTTTACACCTGGTTTAGTCCTGGTTTACACCTGGTTTAGACCTAGTTTAGACCTGGTTTTAGACCTGGTTTAGTCCTGGTTTACACCTGGTTTACACCTGGTTTAGACCTGGTTTAGTCCTGGTTTACACCTGGTTTACACCTGGTTTACACCTGGTTTACACCTGGTTTAGGTCCTGGTTTACACCTGGTTTACACCTGGTTTAGTCCTGGTTTAGACCTGGTTTAGACCTGGTTTAGACCTGGTTTAGACCTGGTTTAGTCCTGGTTTAGTCCTGGTTTAGACCTGGTTTAGACCTGGTTTAGACCTGGTTTAGTCCTAGTTTAAACCTGGCTTAGACCTGGTTTAGTCCTGGTTTAGTCCTGGTTTAGACCTGGTTTACACCTGGTTTTGACCTGGTTTAGACCTGGTTTACCTGGTTTCCTGGTTTAGACCTGGTTTAGACCTGGTTTTAGACCTGGTTTAGTCCTAGTTTAGTCCTGGTTTAGACCTGGTTTAGACCTGGTTTAGTCCTGGTTTAGCCCAAAATGTGAAAACAGGAAAATACCGCCGTGTAATCCATTTATTTCAACAAAGTAACTGTAATCCAATTACCACTCACTGAAACAGTAACTGTAACTGAATACAGTTACTCATAATTTGTACTCTGATTACGTAACTCCGGTACATGTAATCTGTTACTCCCCAACACTGACTATAGAGACATTATTTACTTAAAATGTTGTTATTATTATTTTATATTTTGCTTGTTCTGGATTCAGTGCTTAGGCAAAACTATTACTGAACATTTATTTAATTATGAAAAGGTTTAACATTACATATCTCAAAAGAAGAGAAAACATGCAAACACAAATTTTTCTGTAAATATTTTGTTCGGCCCACGAGTTAGTCCCAGTTTTAAATTTTGTCCCTTTGTGACTTTGAGTTTGACACCTCTGAAAGTCAATATTCTTAAATCCAGTCAGTGCTATTTTAATTTAATTTTGCTGAGCTGCCTTAACCTATATCTGCAAATTACGCTGTTTGGAAGTGACTCACCCAAATCTCAATATGGATTTTTTGTTTTTTTCTGTCAATTTGGATGACCTAATTACACCCCGTTATCCTTCCGCACAATCAACACCCTCCACCAGACCTGGAAATGAAATCCATCCTCAATTCTCCTGGGACTACATTTTACTACCACCTTTCCCTTTCCCTTTCCTTTCCCCCTCGTTACTCACCGAGCAGCGATCCGACCAGGACGAGCACCTGCACCGCCGTGGCGAAGTCCCCGTAGGCTTGCACGGACGCTGTAGTCACCCCCTCTCCTCCATCACCTCCATCCCCCGGTACCAGGCTCACGAAACTGTCCTCCCGGGTACTGGTCGCGGTCGGGTAGCTCGACGCATTCGCCAGCTCCAACCACAGGTGCTGCGGAGCGGATGTCCAGTTCGATTCTCGGCTCCCGCTGTCCATATTGCACCGAATGAATCACGCGTAATGGGCAGGGAAAGGCATTTTTTTGGGGTTTTTTTTTTATCGCACCAGCGCCAACGACGTGTGGTTCTTACCGTTTACGACTCGCGTGGTGATAGTTACTGGTGAAAAAGGTGAACTCGGGTGACTAGGTAGTGACAGAGAGGGATCCATTGCAGAAAACGGTGAGATCCACGCGTTTTGGGGAGGCGGGCAAAGGCGCAGTCCGGGTCGGTCCGTTGTCATCCGCGCGTCGTCTCACCGGGGGTTTATGGGCTGTGAGTGACGCTGCGCGGGCCGGCGGCGAGCGCTCAAATGGGCAGCTCTTTCCATCCACAGCGTGAGGTGCAAGACTGGAGCGCGAGAGGGGAGGGAGGGGGAGGGAGGGAGGGAGAGAGGGGAGGGAGGGAGGGAGGGGGAGGGAGGGAGGGAGGGAGGGAGGGAGGGAGGGAGGAGGGAGGGAAAGCCCCACCTCCCACTTGGATCCAGCGACACGACAACCAAGTGGCCAGTCCGTCTTATGAATGATGACATTTTATGACTTTTACATTTATACACAGTGTTGGGGAGTAACAGATTACATGTACTGGAGTTATGTAATCAGAGTACAAATTATGAGTAACTGTATTCAGTTACAGTTTCAATGAGTGGTAATTGGATTACAGTTACTTTGTTGAAATAAATGGATTACACGGCGGTATTTTCCTGTTTTTACTTTTTTTTTTGGTAATTTCACTCATTGTCAGACACAGGTCCATACCAGATCTAAACCAGGACTAAACCAGGATTAAAACCAGGTCTAAACCCAGGTCTAAACCCAGGTCTAAACCAGGTCTAAACAAGGTCTAAACCAGGACTAAAACCAGGTCTAAAACAGGTCTAAACCAGATCTAAAACCAGGTCTAAAGCAGGTCTAAAACCAGGTCTAAAACCAGGACTAAAAAAACAGGACTAAACCAGGACTAAACCAGGTCTAAACCAGGTCTAAACCAGGACTAAAAACCAGGTCTAAAACAGGATTTACCAGGTCTAAACCAGGTCTAAAACCAAGACTAAACCAGGATCTAAACCAGGACTAAACCAGGTCTAAAACAGGTCTAAACCAGGTCTAAACCAGGACTAAAACCAGGTCTAAAACCAGGTCTAAACCAGGTCTAAAACCAGGACTAAAACCAGGACTAAACCAGGAGTCTAAACCAGGTCTAAACCAGATCTAAAACCAGGTCTAAAACCAGGACTAAAACCAGGTCTAAACCAGGACTAAACCAGGTCTAAACCAGGTCTAAACAAGGTCTAAACCAGGTCTAAAACCAGATCTAAACCAAGACTAAACCAGATCTAAACCAGGACTAAACCAAGACTAAAACCAGGTCTAAACTATGTCTCAAACAGGTCTCTCAAAAATGCTTATAAATTAAGGCTTCAGAAAAAGTGGATAGGGCCCCAAAATTTCAACGGGTCATAACTCAGGAACGACTGAAGGGGTTGAGCTAAAATTTGAGATTCTTTCATTTGGTGATTTTAGAAATTTTTTGAATTTTTTTCAGCCAAATCTGAGATGGCTCATAGGGGAGATTCCTTGAAAACAGCTGATTTCATACGGACTGACTCCATTACCATTTATATTTTAGCTCTTTGCTCAAAATGCTCTGTTCCACCTTGTGATGTCATGAAGCAGTTGTTTACAAATTAACAACTACTTTATTATCTTTTGTTTGTCTTAGATTGTCAAGTCCAGAGCTGAAATCATCCAAATGATTCTAGTCACGGTGTTTGGAGTTTAAAAACACAAAGTGGAGCAGTGTTTTCTGTCTGAGAGAATAACACAGGGGTAGCGTATGAATGAAACAAAACAACATTATAACTGAGCAGAAAATAGCGTAATAGGGGTCCTTTAATTTAATTTGGTTAGACGTGAATTGAGGAATAACTGAGTAGACTAAAGGTCAATACAAAATACTACATCTGAATCAATTCCGGTTGAGAAAGGTCAGGAGCTTTTTACAAGACCCAAACTAAACCGTGGATCAAAACGGGCAAATCCAAAAATAAACTCTTCACCCTCTTATATATCAACATGAATGACTAGAACTTTAACTTCTTGGGTTCTTTTACATAACGTACCTAGAAGTTAAATTACATAAGAAGACGAAATGAACATCTTTGGGTGAATGACTAGTGGCGGTCAGAGAAGGGCACAATGGCAGCCACGCATTCGCCACAGAGTATGGAGTGATTGATGAGTGCAATGTAAAGCACTCCGAGTTTCTCCGATGGAACTATATAAATCCCAGGCATTACTAAAATAAGAGGCAAACCGGGTTAAACCTGGATTATTCTCGGACTAAACTGGATCAAAACATTTACAGTTCCTTCGTCTGTGGAGTTTGCGTGATTAAGTTTCCTCTGGTCACTTGAGGCTACGTTTATATGATATGAAAGTGGCGTCGCGTCTTCTACTTTTTATTCCGCGTTAAGACGAGCGTTTTCAGAAGGAAATCTGCATGCATACGGTGACGTTAAAGTGTCTATTATTTGATTGGATATGCATGCCAAGCGGCTCAGTGGTGACGCTATGTGGTGATGTACAGTATGTAACGTAAACACGTACGTGACGTGAGCAGATCTGACCAGAGTTTTGCGTCTTGGGCAGTGTAGACGGAAACGCTACAGCAGAGTGTATTCAACTTTTCCGCTCTGGAGGGTGGTTTCAGATTTTTGCATTTTTAAGCCCCAAAAACACCGTCACCATCTAAACAAAAGGCACTTCCGATAAAATATTTTGTAGTTTTTTCCGCAAGCATTATTGTGTAAACAGGCTTAACTTTCCCCATTAACAGCAGACTGATCCTCCAGTTAACAAATGACTTGGTTAAGGCACTTGCTTGTCTCTATGGAGATATTATAGTTTGGGCTGGAATATTCTAACCTGATTCATCAGATGGTTTCACTTTGTAGAAACCATCTGACCTCGTAGTGTTAGAATTCATTCGCTCGACAGTAGGTGGGTACTTTTTTTAATTTAAGCATTCGCTGCTGTTTGGTCATGACGTATGTAATGCACAGCCAACGGGGATAACTGGTATATTAAGCTTTTCCCAAATCCCGTAGGAAGGAGGACAATAACGTCTTTCCCCTTGATAAAATTCACCAAACATTCTCTATGTTCCAGCTTTAAATCCTCGATCTCGGGAATCGTTGCCAACACAGAATGTACGGCTCTTCTCTGATTGGCTGGTGCCTGAACTCACACTTCTGAGATTTTTGCAAACAGTAGGCCTGTAATGATAACAGATTTTGCTGGACGATTAATTGACCTAGAATTTATTGCGATAAACGATAATATTGACATTTTGAGACCATTTTCAACTAATATAATGACCATGGAATAAAAATGCAAATACACCATTTCAAAGATCAATAAACTTTACTTTCTAAAGAACATTTAACACAGTAAATGCAAGACAAAAACAAAACAAAAACAACAGGCCTAAATAAAATAGACTTGTTGACATAAAAATAGCCTAATGTAGTCTGACTTACAGCAAGGACTTGTTAACAAAAATGCACTTGAATGAACCATTGTTGAACCAAACACAATCAAAACAGTAAATAAAATGGATTATTAAATCTTTGTAACAAAATTGACCTTAAAAGTTATTTTAGTCATCAACTTACATTGGAATATTGTGGCTCCTCTTTCTGTGGCTGCTGCTGTGAGCCTTAAAATGTTCGTATTTACCCGCTCTACAGTATTCTGTTTCACTATGAGGGAGTCTCTGTCTTGTCTGGTATTGTGTCTCTCCCAGGGGTTAGTTCTGCTGCTCGGGGATGGGTTTGTGTCGGCTGCTGAGGTTTGAGCCATTTCTTCTTGCTGCATTTGACGCATGTTCATTAAAAGTTATCGTACGATTGATTTATTGATTATCGTTACAGGCTTAGTGAACAGTCTAGTGCACAGGTGTTAAACATGCGGCCCGGGGGCCAGATCTGGCCCTCCAAGACCTTTAATCTGGCCCTTGGCTGATTTTCTACTAAAATATTTTAATTATATTTTCTATTAAAATATTATTAATTTTCTGTGGTGTTTATCACAGCAGCATCTCCAGCGTCTCTGTACGTGGCCCCTCCCACCAGAGCAGCACAAATGAAGACTTGTCTCTTTCCAAACACTCTTAAAGGACGATCGTTTTGACTGTTGACCGTGACACCCTCATCAGAAAAATGTCCAAAATGAGAAAAGTGGAGCCGAGTGCAGGATTTTACAACAAAAACTGACTTATTCCTATTTGCAAACAAGTTAATGTTAAAACACTGTGTTGAAATTGCATTTTTTTTTTTTTAAGTTTCAGGTTGTTCATAATATAATATTTTGTAAAAGAAAGAGTTCATCAATTAATAAAGATTTCTGTAATAGATTTGTGTTTCTCTGCACAAATATTTGAATTTATTGTTATTTTTGGGGTTTATATGCCATGAGTTTTCTGATCCGGCCCCTTTGGGATCAAAGTAGGTTGGATACGGCCCCCGGATCAAAATGCGTTTGACACCCCTGCTCTAGTGTATTCTGATTCCTGACCTAGGCGTTGAAGAGAAATTAAATAGAGCGGAGGCACTAGGTTGGCACCAGCCTGGCTAGGAATGTTCCAGAACACGGCATAAAACGTATATATCCATCTCCATGTAGACAAGCATGTTACCTCCTGGGTTAAGTTACAGGTCAGATCTGTGGTACAATTTTAACAAGTGAAAACACCAGTAATTGAGTTGTTGTTGTTTAATACTATCCAAGAAAAGCAACAACATCTCCACCCTGCAGTAAAAAATTACATAGTGCATCTTTAATTAAATAGTCTATACTTGCATGTGGAATAGCAAAAGAAGCTGTGATAATTTTACACTTTAATATGGCGATAATAACAACATCCAAGTATGCACTGACCGTTTTCCTTGGCACTGACACACAGCTCCACTGGTCTCTTGCCCGTGCTGTTCTATCACACGCTGCAGTGAAATTCCTCTTTAGACAGTCAGAAGAATCAGAGTACATGCCACGCTCCAACTACACATTTTACATCGCTGTTGTCAAAACAATACACACACACACTGCACCGAGTGACAGTGAGAGCGTTTATCATTAGGAATCATAGTCTTAAAGGTGCGCTGTTACACAAAATTGACTCTCGTTGTGAGGTTGAAGCAAAGTTAAAACTCATCGAAAACAAACCTGGGAGTTGTATTGTTTTATTGTCACATGTTTGCGTGATCCTTTATCAGTTTGTCGAGCTCAAAATGCTCCGTTCTACTGTATGTTTCAAGTTAAGAGCTACTTTTTACCTTTTTTCCAGGAGAGATTGGCAATTCCAGGGCTGAAATGATCGTTTAAAAACACAGTGGAGCGCGTCCTGTTTTACCACATGTGCAGAGTTTGTGTGAAACGTGTGGATGCAACAAAACACAACTCCAGGTCTGTTTCCGAGGAGATAACATTACAACACGGTCACAATCTCACAAGAGTTAATTGTGTCTAATTTAATGCAATAACACCACATTCAACTTGGATTTGATTAAATTTAAACTTAAAAAAGTTGTAAATAGTAAAGAAGAAAAGAGTAAAAAGTAAAGATAAAGACATTTTCAACATTTTTGCTATGGAAAAATAATGTAGTGGAAGTCAGCAGCCACCAGATGTCAATATTACTGATTCATGTACAGCTGGTAGTTCTTAAACAGGCATCCATGTTTTTACAAACTTGTTGAGCAATAATAACAATAAGTTCAAATAAGTACATGCTGTGCCACTGTGGAACATTCTAGGGAAGCACATAATGCATCTTCAGTTAAATTTTAGAGTTTTCAAAAATATCAAAAGTCAAATACTCGTCTGTATTAAAGCTAGTGCTGAAACCTTTTTTGAATAACTTTATAATGGTCTTGAGTTGTATCAGAACAAGTATAAGAGCACATAGACTAGTGTACACCCACGGACCACTGTGGAACCTACCTGGACCAGCGGGATGACACAGATATAAAGGCCACATGGAAATAGAAAAGAAAGTACTATTATTTAATTATTACTTAATGTTGAAAATGAGTATTCTATTGTCTAAAGAGTGCCTTTTTATTGTCAAATGGTGTGTGCGTGAGTGATGGTGGCGGTCAGAGGGGCTGATGGCACAGATTGGCAGCCACACTTCCATCAGTCTGCCTCAGGACAGAGAGGTTACAATAAATTACTGTATTTTCTGCACTATAGGGTGCACTTAAAAGCCTTTAATTTCATCAAAAAATGACTGCGCGCCTTATAATCCAGAGTGATTTATATATGAATGTATTGGGGTGTCTTAGTACGACTTTAGTAAACTACAAAGCCACATCACTTGCAGCATTACGGCTCCTGTAGTCAGGAGCATCGCAGAGTAATACATACTGTGATTCCTTTTAATATCAAAATGCACCTGTCGAGACACGCTTACAACGCCGACTTTAAACTCAAGGCTGTTATAAAGTTAAAGTGCGAGCTGCGTGGGAGCAGTGGATGAGAGAAGACGAACACACATTCACCAAGACAGGGAGACGGCGCCGAGCGACTTACGCCACGATCTGCCAATGGATCGTGGACGCCTGGGCTAAGGATCAGTATCACCTGCGGTCTGAGCTTTCACCAACACCGAAATCATCACTGAACTGCCAGGTAACAGTAACCACACTGACTCGGATAATGACGAGAGGGATGTGGGCGTGCTGGACGCTGTAATCGCCCAACTGTTTGAACAATTGAGTTATTGTGAACACACTAACAATCTAGAGTCTCAGACAGGATTTTTTTTTACATGTTACAAATGAACAAAGTTGAGAGTTATTGTGAACGTGTTAAATAAAGTTTGACTGACTTATCTAACTGTTGTGTTGCGTTTAATGCTCCTTACAGTCCAGTGCGGTTTCTATGTGAAAAAAGTTAGAAAATAGACCATTCAATGACAGTGCACTTTATAATCCAGCGCGCCATATAGTGCGGAAAATACAGTATTGACTTTGCCAAGTGTGGAATTACAGAACAGTGCACCTTAAAGCACTGAAAGGCACAATATAAATGCAATAACTAATCAATCATTGTGGTATCAGAGTCAGTATTGAGTACTGATTAATTTCATTTACTGTTCAAAAAGTATGATATACAATTTACTAATTAAACACACCACAATTATACCGAACAGTATTCGCACTGAAACACATCATGAATCCCTGTATTTAAATGTCCAATATTACGCAAAATCCACTCTGAGCTTTATAGGGCCCATATTACGCTATTTCCTTCATCACAAGTCAATTCTGTTTAATATAGCACCTTTATATTATTAGTCTATCTACATCTCCAAAGCTCAGAATGCTCACTTCCACCTTGTGATGTCATGAAGCGATCATTTTCAAGCTGAAATCATTCAAATTTTTCTAGTGAATGTTTAAAAACACCGTGGAGCACTTCCTGCATTACCACGACATCACAAGTTGGAACTCAGTGGTTTCTCAGCCCCCAAGTGAGTTTTGAAAAACTGCTGGACCCGCTCCCAAAGATCCACCTGGGCCTCCGCGTTGGCTTTGGCCTCCCCCCCGAAGTACACCGCCTTCCCCACCGCCGCGTGCACCGCCGACGGGCAGAAGGGCATGGGGGGCATCTCCAGAAAATGCCCCGCTTTGGGATACACTACCACAGAACACGTGTTTTTGTTGTGCTTTTTCAAAGTGGCCTCTGCTTGTTTGGCAAAAGGGACGCTGGCCCAGTTGTAGTCGTCTCCAGAAGCAGCGAATAAGAATTGGCTGGTTGCGCGTTCAATGGGGATCAGAGACTCTTTGTGTTCTTGTGGATCGGCTAAACCTCTGCTGATATCCAAAAGGCCAGACTCGAGTACTTTGAGGTTTTCCCAAATAAGCCTGAGAGCAGGGAGGTGTACGTCTTTGTAGCGCAAGGGGATGACAATAGCGGAGATGCAACCATTGATCCAGACAGTGGCGGCGATGTTGTCAAGGAAAGATGCCATGGCCAAAGCGATAAAGCCACCGTTCGAGATGGAAATGATGCCAACGCCTGGACCTTTAACCTGTACAGATGACAAGAAGAAAGGTTTAAAAAGGATGTACCTCTTCGGCTGAGTATCACTAAGAAGTTGCCGATACGATACCATAGGCCACGATACGATACATATCTCGATACAGTGCACTTTCGATTCGATATGGTTCAATACAAAAATAAAGGCTAAATCATGGCTGTGATACTAAGGCTACGTTCAGACTGCAGGGCTTAACGCTCAATTCCGATTTTTTTTGTGAAATCCGATGTTTTTGCGGTCGTACACATTTCCAATTAAATGCGACTTGTATGTGACTCCAGTGTGAACAGTAAACGGCCCGAAAGTGTCCCACATGTGCACTGGAGGACATGACGACGTCAACCACAGCGAGCGTGCTCTGTGTTTACGGAAGTTGTCCAAACATGGACGCGAGCATTGAGCACCTGGAGATTTTAACGTTCCTCTCGTACCAGAAACAGAACATGAACAACTGATTTGTTTTAAGGAGATTGAGAAGGAGAAGGACGAGGTTTTTGGCCGTGGCGTTTTGTGGGACAGTGCGTTGAAAGGAACGTGTGGATGTGGAGACATAGCCAATAGTGGTGAGTGGTGATGTGCTTCGCTTCAGTGACACGGAGCTCATTAACAATTTTCGCCTACTTCAGCGCAGAATAGTGACGTGTAGGTCACATGTAGGTCACATGTAGATGAATGTGCTTTGGCTGTTCACACTGAAGTCACATGTCAAAAGATCGGATATGTATCAGTTTCAGGACCACATATCCAAGTGTCCTGGGTCTCATTTGAAAAAAAATCGGATCTGTGTCGTTCAGACTGTTATTAAAGATCAGATACAGGTCACATAGGGTCCAAAAAAAAAAAAAAAAAAAAAAAAAAAAAAAAAAATCAGATTTGGGTCACTTCAGGCTGCAGTCTGAACGCAGCCTAAAAGTCTTTGTTAAACCAGTTCTTGTGCAAAGTTCATATGAAACACAAACATTTTTTCCTCTAAACAGTGAAAATGTCAAATGCGTCTCAAACGAGTTTCCTTCCACTAAATAAGCAACAAAACTATAGCGCTGTAACAAAATTATTTTGTAAAATATACAAAAAAATATTCTTGGCGATATATCGATACAGTAGCCCATCATATCGATACTGTATCATCACATTAAACGATATAATATATAGATATTTTGATATTTTTGCACTCTAATGGAGATGTTATTGCTTTGTCTGTAATGTTTCACCGTATGGTATTAACCGTTCTACATTCAGACCAAACCTGACCAAGTTAGTGGTCAGATCTGTGGAGAGGCAACTCCACTCACCGTGGGAATGCTTGTTTTTCTAGGTATTTTTAAGCTATAAAACCACCTGTAATTATATAAATGTAAAGTAGAGCTGTTAATGTCACAGTGTGGAACATTCGAGACAGGGAAATGACATCTCCATAGAAACAAGCAGGTGACGCCGATCGATTAGTCAACTAAAAAGTGGGCGTGGTGATTAGATGACTACCACAACATTGACTGATTAATCTACAAAAACCAGAAATAACTGCAGGTGTACTGTTAGCATGCTAGTGGCTCTTAACAAATGTTGCTGTCCCAGTACTGCCATCAGGATATTAGGATTGTGTACATTACTGATACTGGTATAACTATTCTGAAAACTAGTAACTGTGTACACAGTATGACTTACTAACCTCAGGCAGACTCAGCAGATATTTGACGGCTTCTTCAAAGTACTCCAGCTCGACGTATTTCGGATTTTTGGGTAAATCCTGGTAGTCCTGATAGGCCAGAGCCATTGTAACAAAGCCTTTACTGGCCAAAAGACTGGCTCTGGGTTCAGACAGGCGTCCTCCCAGCGTGTACAAGTCCACGATCGCTGGAAATGGGCCTGGTCCTACAAAAAAAGAAAAAAAAAAAAGAGGTAAATATTATGTACAATAAAACTCAAGCCAATGCAGCTGAAGGTTTGAGGAGCGAAAAAGTCCAGGATCATGTAATGCAGGTTCATATAAATAAATATAAACGATGAGGGTCACTGCAACAATTTTTCAATCTAAAGTGAACTGGAGCCAGAGTCAATGGAGCCAGAAGTGCCCCCATGCTCACTTCCTATTTGGAACGAGAAGGCTGGCAGGTTCGCTATGGGGTCATTCCACGCCAAATCTCCAAATGCCCCCTCTCAAGCATCTCAGATTTGACTGAAAAAATTCAAGGAGGTCCAGTCCACACAAGGTCCAATAGGAAAAGTCCCAAATTTTAGCTCCCAACTCCTTATAGTTTTGTCAACTCCCCCCGACCTGTTCTGAGCAGAGTTTTCCGAGGAGACACTTTCAGATTGCTGTATCTAAAAACTATTTATGGTCAGTCCTTCAAATTTTCAAGGGTTAAAATTTGGAAAAGTTTCCTCAGAGAGTTGAGATCATTTACAATAGATGAGTAATCAAATAAAGCATTTTGTTAAGTTTGAGCTGTGTGTCATATATTCTGAGTGCCTTTCAAAGGGGCATGGAGCAACTAAATTGTCATGCAGTTACAAATAAATTGCTAAAAGATACCAAAAACTATCCATCTACCCATTTTCTTCTGCTTATCCGGGGCCGGGTCGCGGGGGCAGCAGTCTAAGCAGGGACTCCCAGACTTCCTTCACCCCAGACACGTACTCCAGCTCCTCCGGGGGGACCCCGAGGTGTTCCCAGGCCAGCCGAGAGACATAGTCCCTCCAGCGTGTCCTGGGTCTTGCACGGGGCCTCCTCCCGGTGGGACATGCCCAGAACACCTCCCGAGGGAGGCGCCCAGGAGGCATCCGGAACAGCTCTACTCCGAGCTCCTCACCCTGTCTCTAAGGGAGCGCCCAGCCACTCTGCGCAGGAAACTCTTTTTGACCACTTGTATCCGCGATCTCGTCCTTTCGGTCATTACCCAGAGCTCATGACCATAGGTGAGAGTAGGAACGAACATTGACTAGTAAATCGAGAGCTTCGCCTTTCGACTCAGCTCCCTCTTCACCACAACGGTCTGACACAGCCACCGCATCACTGCGGACGCCAAAAACCAATCTTGTCAATATATCAATACAGCTGCCCATAATAACGATACTGCTTAACCAAATTTAGTAGCACAATATATGAAAATTTCAATATTTTTGCACACCAATTATTTCTATAGCTAATAAACAGAAATAAAATATCTACCTGGTGGCACAAACAGCGTTCCTCTCAACCTGCCCTCCGTCAATGGGATCCTCTTCACCCCCTCCGCCATAAACTCCCTGTAGTTGATCTCCGACGCCAGCACCTCTCCGCCATTTCCCTCATCCAGAGCGGAAATCTCCACCTGCATCGGATTCAGCGCCGTCTTCATCACTAGTTTACTATGAGGAGTCTCCGGTAACATGGACCAGAACAGTCCCATCGGCTCCACTCCGGTGTAACTACCACCCAGAGAAGCAGCCTGAGACACGTCCACACACCCCAGCTTGTCTGCTCTGTACTGGGCAGTGGCTTTGAAAACAATGCCCCTGTCATCTACCACTTTGGAGCGGAGCATGAGAGGTTTGTGCGGAGAAAGGCCCTCCACTCTGATCTGCACCGTTTTGTCGAACAGACAGCGGGCGGAGGGGAGAATTCTCAAGCGGACCTGGGAGGACGCCATTGGGACTGGAGTTTGGAGTCTTGAAAGTGATAATTATTGTGGTCTTGCTCTGCAACGACAAGAATTGAAATGTGTAATAAGAATCCATGTACTTGTATTATAGAGAATCAATTTGTACTAGGGTTGTGAAAAGTATCAAAAAGCAGATACTTATCGATACTAAAACTAGTATAGAAGTAGATACTCATTTGAGCAGGTATTGATACTAAAAAAAAAGTCACATTTATAGAACAGAAATTAACCTTTCTTGAAAAGCTTTAGAATGATCTTGAGCTGTAAGAGCACATACACTAATAAACACCCATGAACTAATATGGAACTTACAAGGGATTAAAGAGATATAAAGCCAAGTGGTAAAATATAAACAAAAGTACTATTATTTAATGTTAAAAATGACATTCTATTGTCTGTGTTTTAATTATCATTGTGTATTAGAATCAGTATCAAGTGTATTGAAATCGAAAATTTAGTTACTTTGAAAAAAAACATCCAGCTCAGGAACCAACTTGAGTTCTTCACTCTGAGCACACTTTGTTATTCCTCTTAATGTCAGTCAGAGGTTATACAAAGTGTTACTGCCCAGCTCTGCTAGGGACAGGGAAGTAACAAAAAATAAAACCAAGAGGTAAAATTGAATAAATTAAAATAATGTTTAATTAACAGGGGTTTTAAAAGGTAAATTAACAAAAGACTAAAATATATAGAAATTAACCTAAACTAAGAAACAGAACAACAGACTAAACTGAGTTTTGTGCCACAAAAGGGGTCACACAGGCTTACACAAAACGAGTGGTAAAATTAAGGGACACACACAAAACCAAAACACAAGTTCCACAAATTAAACCACATACGCCCACAAACAGAACTGAGTGACCAAATCAAAAAAGGCACATAACAGAACTAAACAAACTACACACACAAACACAAAACGGCAGACTGGACACCAAGGCCAGCAGCCCCGAGCAGGTGCAGGTAATCTCCTTAAATATGGGGAGGTGGCTGCAGGTGAGGTGGGGATAGACATGCCCCACCAATCACAAACCAGGGCTGCCACAGCAGGAATCAAGGTGTGTCAGCAGAATAATTTAGAACACACAAAACAAATTACAATCTAAGGCCTGGGGCCGTAACTCAAAGTCCTCCATAAACTAAATCGTACCTGATCCGTGTTAACACCAGAAGACAACGGTCCGGCTCCTATGTTCATCCATAATATTTGTCATCTGCAAATAATGACACCCAAAGGTGTTCTTTTCACCTTGATTTTGAGTGCCCCCCTCTCAAGTTTATAACAAATTTCCCGACACTTAGTGTCTACAAAACTTCTCACATTGCCAAAATTGGTCCAATTGGGATTAAAAAAAACACAGCCAAAGTTATCACTATAAATGTACCTTCAGGTTCACATAGTCCCTCAACAAGGCACAACTGGTACTGTCATGCCTTTGTGATTGCATTTAACATCACCAATTTTTGTCTGGATGGAAAATAATTGACATTTGTTCATTCATGTTTGACATCGAGCGCCTGGTGGCTGTCCACCAGTGACACCAACAAAAGAACTCCACACCATATCCCACAGAACCTCAAGTTAAAACACACAACATAATATAATAATAATTCTAACCATTTTAATTAAGTAAAGGTGCATTGTGTAACTTTTTCTCCATGGAGATGTCATTGCTTTAATTGTCTGGAATGTTTCACAGTATGGTATTAAACCTTTCTATTTTCACAGAGACAAAACCAGACCAAGTTACAGGTCAGGTCTGTGGAGAGGCGACCCCGCACACAGTCAGAATGCCTGTTTTTCTAGATCGTTTTGAGCTATAAACCAGTGCAGGACAATGACATATCCATACTCATTACACCTAAATCAAGTGCACATTTTATGTTTATCTACAAGACTGGAGAGCAAACCTTTAACACTGGACACGCATTTAGACATATTAGGTCTGCTTTTATAGTTAAAACCACACTGTCAATTGTCATGTGTGCCAGATGTAATGATTCCCTGCCTTTACTTTTTGCCCTTGTGCCACTTTTCATCTGATCCAGTGATCCAGCGCACGCAGCAGCACGCAAACATAAATACAGCGGTCATTAGGGAGACATGTTAACAAAACTATAACTTAGACGCGTGATTTTATAGGTTGAATGAACTGAACTCAAACCTTTGGAGTCTTGACGCACTAAGAGACGATCCCCGAGAGACTGTGTGAGACGTGCCCCGCGCACCATGGATCTAGAATTAGTTTAATTTAATACAGCGCCCCTATCAGGAGGCTTAAACTAACACAGCTGCAGAAAATGTTAAATATTACCCATCTTTAAAAGAACAGGCTTGCGTTTTGTCACTTCTTCCGGATATTAAACTCAGTGTTGTGTCTTGTGCGCTCCCTACTGGAGAGGGGCCTACCTGGACTGGACTTCACATGTAGACCTATGATCATCAGTGTTGGGAAGGGTACTTATAAAATGTATTCCCCTACAGATTACAGATTACATACACCAAAATGTAGTTTGTAACGGAATTCATTAAATTACTTAAGGTGAGTAACGTAATCTGAATACTTTGGATTACTTGATTTGCTGTAGAGAAGCAAAGACGAAGAAATCGTAACATAAGATGTTTTTTCTGCTAAAAGAAAATAAAAAGTCCAGACTTTACTTTACTTTATAAATATTATTGATAGAAGAGGAGGAGACACATCCGCGCAGCATGATTTAGTCCTGTTAAATCCTGTTTTAGACCTGTTTTAGTCCTGGTTTAGTTCTGGTTTAGTCCTGGTTTAGTCCTGGTTTAGACCTGTTTTAGTCCTGGTTTAGTTCTGGTTTAGTCCTGTTAAATCCTGCTTTAGACCTGTTTTAGTCCTGTTTTAGTCCTGTTTTCGTCCTGGTTTAGTCCTTGTTTAGCCCTGGTTTAGACCTGGTTTAGTCCTGGTTTAGTCCTGGTTTAGACCTGGTTTAGTCCTGGTTTAGTCCTGGTTTAGACCTGGTTTAGTCCTGGTTTAGTCCTGATTTAGACCTGTTTTAGACCTGGTTTAGTCCTGGTTTAGACCTGGTTTTAGACCTGTTTTAGACCTAGTTTAGTCCTGGTTTAGTCCTGGTTTAGACCTGGTTTTAGACCTTTTTTAGACCTAGTATAGTCCTGGTTTAGACCTGGTTTTAGACCTGTTTTAGACCTAGGATAGTCCTGGTTTAGACCTGGTTTAGATCTAGTTTAGACCTGGTTTATTTTAGTTTAGGGGGGGGGGAGAATACCGCCATGTAATCCATTTATATCAACAAAGTAACTGTAATCCAATTACCGCTCACTGAAACAGTAAGTGTAACTGAATACAGTTACTCATAATTTGTACTCTGATTACGTAACTCCGGTACATGTAATCTGTTACTCCCCAACACTGACTATATTTGAACTTTGTAGGGTTTATAAATGTATGGAATGAACATTAACAGTAAAACAGTAAAAGGGAAAAACTGTGGTGAAACTTGTGGGTGTTCTATTGCAGAGGCGATAATGTACCACCAGGTGTCACTGTTGTCCAAATATTTAAGACTGTTTACTGTTTTGACTGACTAATGACTGTTTTACATACACTGGAAGTATACTGCTAATTTGTCTATAATACACAAGTGTACTTAGACCTGTTACTGTGAGTGGAGCCTGAAATTGTTATTCTATGAGTAAGAATCAGTGAGATAGGCCTTGAAGAAAGCCTATCTACCATACTCATAATGAAGGTTTTAGTGTTATCAGACGAGGCCACAGGGGTGTTCCCTCATTAGCAGTTGAAGAAGCAAACAGTAGTATTTAGAGAGACTTAAAGTGTTATATTTTTGTCAACTATCCAGCTCATAATCAATTAAAATGACTCAACCAAGTCACTGATTTGATTGACTTTATGTGAGAGAAACATGATGCAGACATATCATTAAAGGGCAGTGTTGGGAAGGTTACTTTTAAAATGTATTCCCCTACAGATGACAGATTACATACCCCAAAATGTAGTTTGTAACGAAATCCATTAAATTACTTAAAGTGAGTAACGTCATCTGAATATTCTGAATTACTTGATCTTGTCTTGCTTTTAAAAACGACATGAATGTAACAACCACATCTTGAAAATTCTTGTTTGTTCTCATCAAATTGTCTGTTGAGTCCAAGTCTCCATGAACAGGCTTTTGTTTGTTGTAGAGAAGCAAAGACCAAGATGTTTTATCTGCTAAAAGACACAAAAAGCCCAGTCTTTCCTTAACCAGATTAAAAATATTATTGTTAGAGAAATGATTTTTATATGAGATCACAGCTGCTTTAAAGTATGTCCACCTACTGTTAGTGTCATATGGTTTAGACCTGGTTTAGTCCTGGTTTAGACCTGGTTTAGTCCTTGTTTTAGTCCTGGTTTAGTCCTTGTTTTAGTCCTGGTTTTAGTACTGGTTTAGTCCTGGTTTTAGTCCTGGTTTAGTCCTGGTTTAGTCCTGGTTTAGTCCTGGTTTAGTCCTTGTTTTAGTCCTGGTTTTATTCCTGGTTTAGTCCTGTTTAGTCCTGGTTTTAGTCCTGGTTTAGTCCTGGTTTTAGTCCTGGTTTAGTGCTGGTTTTAGTCCTGGTTTAGTCCTTGTTTTAGTCCTGGTTTAGTTTAGTCCTGGTTTAGTCCTTGTTTTAGTCCTGGTTTTAGTACTGGTTTAGTCCTGGTTTAGTCCTGGTTTAGTCCTGGTTTAGTCCTGTTTAGTCCTGGTTTTAGTCCTGGTTTTAGTACTGGTTTAGTCCTGGTTTTAGTCCTGGTTTTAGTCCTGGTTTAGTCCTGGTTTTAGTCCTGGTTTAGTCCTGGTTTAGTCCTGGTTTAGTCCTGGTTTAGTCTTGTTTAGTCCTGATTTAGTCCTGGTTTTAGTTTTAGTCCTGGTTTAGTCCTGTTTAGTCCTGTTTTAGTCCTGGTTTAGTCCTGGTTTTAGTCCTGGTTTAGTCCTTGTTTTAGTCCTGGTTTAGGCCTGGTTTAGTCCTGTTTTAGTCCTGTTTTAGTCCTTTAGTCCTGTTTTAGTCCTGGTAGTTTAGTCCTGTTTAGTCCTGTTTAGTCCTGGTTTTAGTCCTGGTTTTAGTCCTGGTTTAGTCTGTTTAGTCCTGGTTTAGTCCTGGTCCTGTTTAGTCCTGGTTTAGTCCTGTTTAGTCCTTTTAGTCCTGGTTTTCCTGTTTTAGTCCTGGTTTTAGTCCTGTTGTTTTAGTCCTGGTTTAGTCCTGGTTTAGTTTTTCCTGTTTAGTCCTTTTAGTCCTGTTTAGTCCTTTTTAGTCCTGTTTAGTCCTTGTTTTAGTCCTGGTTTAGTCCTGGTTTTAGTCCTGGTTTTAGTCCTGGTTTTAGTCCTGTTTGTTTAGTCCTGGTTTAGTCTTTTTAGTCCTGGTTTAGTCCTGGTTTAGTCCTGGTTTAGTCCTTTAGTCCTGGTTTAGTCCTGGTTTAGTCCTGGTTTTAGTCCTGGTTTATCCTGGTTTAGTCCTGTTTAGTCCTGGTTTAGTCCTTTAGTCCTGTTTTAGTCCTGGTTTTAGTCCTGGTTTAGTCCTGGTTTAGTCCTGTTTAGTCCTGGTTTTAGTCCTGGTTTAGGCCTGGATTAGTCCTGTTTTAGTCCTGTTTAGTTTAGTCCTGGTTTTAGTCCTGGTTTTAGTCCTGGTTTAGTCCTGGTTTAGTCCTGGTTTTAGTCCTGGTTTAGTCCTGTTTAGTCCTGTTTTAGTCCTGGTTTAGGCCTTTAGTCCTGGTTTTAGTCCTGTTTTAGTCCTTTAGTCCTGGTTTAGTCCTGTTTAGTCCTGGTTTAGTCCTGGTTTAGTCCTGTTTAGTCCTGTTTAGTCCTGGTTTAGTCCTGGTTTAGTCCTGGTTTTAGTCCTGGTTTAGTCCTGGTTTAGTCCTGTTTAGTCCTGTTTAGTCCTGGTTTTAGTCCTGGTTTAGTCCTGGTTTTAGTCCTGGTTTTATTCCTGGTTTAGTCCTGGTTTAGTCCTGGTTTTATTCCTGGTTTAGTCCTGGTTTAGTCCTGGTTTAGTCCTGGTTTTAGTCCTGGTTTAGTCCTGGTTTAGTCCTGGTTTAGTCCTGGTTTTAGGCCTGGTTTAACCCAAAATGTGAAAACAGGAAAATCCCGCCATGTAATCCATTTATTTCAACAAAGTAACTGTAATCCAATTACCACTCACTGAAACAGTAACTGTAACTGAATACAGTTACTCATAATTTGTACTCTGATTACATAACTCTGGTACATGTAATCTGTTACTCCCCAACACTGTTAAAGGGCCCATATTACGTTATTTTCTGATCCGTGTTATAATGTTTTCTCCTCATCACAAAACTACTACTACTGGAGTTGTGGTTTGTTCTCATAAACAGATGTATGTGGTCGGGCGGAAGGGGGGAGGCTTTTTTTGTTGATTTGTATTTGTTGTGGGTGTCGTGGGTGTCACTTTATGTTTTTGTGTTTTGTTTATTATTGTAATTAGTTAAATGTTGATTATTGTATTTTGTTAAATGTTTTATGCTGTTGTCCTTAATAAAAAAAATAAATTACTCAAACATGTGTGAATGAAACAAAATACAATTCCAGATTTGCTTTTAATGATGAATCAGTGCTCTATATACAGGCCCTTTAAATACAATGGAGCAGCTCTAATATCATCTAATGCTGTCATCATATTAGTTAGACAATAGATTTAATGCTTTAGGCTTATAACAAAGCACTGTTTTAGGTCATGAATGTGTCCTTTGTGAGCCATCTAAGAGGATAAACTCTAAATCACAGGTGTCAAACATGCGGCCCGGGGGCCAGATCCGGCCCTCCAAGACCTTTAATCTGGCCCTCGACTGATTTTCTACTAAAATATTTTAATTATATTTTTTATTAAAATATTGTTAATTTTCTGTGGTGTTTATCACAGCAGCGTCTCCAGCGTCTCTGTACGTGGCCCCTCCCACCAGAGCAGCTCAAATGAAGACTTGCCTCTTTCCAAACGCTCTTAAAGGACGATCGTTTTGACTTTGACTGTTGACCGTGACACCCTCATCAGAAAAATGTCCAAAATGAGAAAAGTGGAGCCGAGTGCAGGATTTTTCGAGAAAAATGTATTTATTCCTGTTTATACAAGTTAATGTTAAACAAGTTCATGTTAAAACATTGTGCTGAAATAGTATTTTTCTTAAAGTTTCAGGTTGTTCATAATATTATAATATTTTGTAAAAGAAAGAGTTCATCTATTAAAAAATATTTTTGTAATAGATTTATTGTTATTTTTGGGGTTTATATGACATGAGTTTTCTGATCCGGCCCCTTTGGGATCAAAGTCGGTTGGATACGGCCCCCAGACCAAAATGAGTTTGACACCCCTGCTCTAAATTCTGACGTGCTATAAAATGATGCATACATGAATCCAGATTATATATTGGTAAACAAACCTGCCTAATGAGTCTGATATTGTCTAGAGACTAAGAAACACTGCCGGGACATGCGTGCATTTCATGACCTAAATAAATTTGTGCATATTTGCAAAAGTGCAGTTTCCTCAGAGCTGCGGTTTAGTAGCTGTAGGAGCACGAACCTCAGTTTTCTCTAGTACGTCTGGTGAAAGTCCATATCTCACCCACTCAAAAATCTATCAGATTGTGGTGGGTCTAATCAAAAAAGCACTGTTCTGTTTACTTTTGTACATGTACGGCAGCCTGGTTTTGTATAATCTGAAACTATGACAAATACAGGAGCTTTAAATGGCCCAAGGTACAAACTGAAGCTATTTCTGTAGATGTTTTTCTTAGCGTAAGGAAGCTGTTGTTGACGCGTCCCGAGACAGTCATGCTATTCTTGTTATGAACGAGGACATTAGACCTACAGACACATATTGTTGTTGGATAGGCATTCACTAAATAGTCATGATAACATATGGCATGGATTCTATTGTATATCAATTAGGGCAGTATTCATAATGTTCATACAGACAACAATATGAAGTCATTCTAAACTGCAGAGTTACACTTACAATACCTGCGAGTACTGCATTAAGACTGCTGAAAGCCAGATAATTTGTGTACTGTACCCAGTGTTGGGGAGTAACAGATTACATGTACTGGCGTTATGTAATCAAAGTACAAATTATGAGTAACTTTATTCAGTTACAGTTACTGTTTCAGTGAGTGGTAATTGGATTACAGTTACTTTATTGAAATAAATGGATTACACAGTGGTATTTTCCTGTTTTTTTCCCTGTAATTCCACTCATTCCCGGAAACTAAACCAGTTCTAAACCAGGACTAAAACCAGGTCTAAACCAGGACTAAACCAGGTCTAAACCAGGTCTAAAACCAGGTCTAAACCTGGACTAAACCAGGACTAAAACAGGACTAAAACCAGGTCTAAACTAGATCTCAACTAGATCTAAACCAGGTCTAAAACAGGATTTAACAGGATTTAACAGGACTAAACCATGTTGTGTGGACGTGTCTCCTCCTCTTCTATCAATAATATTTTTAATTTGGTTCAGTAAAGTCTGGGCTTTTTATTTTCTTTTAGCAGACAAAACTTCTTATGTTATGATTTCCTCGTCTTTGCTTCTCTACAGCAAATCGAGTAATCCAAAGTATTCAGATTACATTACTCACTTTAAGTAATTTAATGGATTACGTTACAAACTACATTTTGGGGTATGTAATCTGTAATCTGTAGGGGAATACATTTTAAAAGTAACCTTCCCAACACTGACTATACCTAAGAATAAGTTTTAGGTATCTGTGCTTTACTTAAGTGCACTTTGAAGTGGATATTTTTAACTTTACTACATTTGAGAGCTGGTTTCTGTATTTTCTACTACACTATATTTTTCGAACTAGACTGAAAAGTAAAAGTATATTTTATGATTGTGTGAGAGCTGCTGAAAAGTCTGAGGATTTATTTTTAACATGTTCATAATTTGAGCAAACAAAGATATACAAATAACAACAGCTCGGGAAAAAAGTTCAGTGTTTCTGTTGAACAAATCTCACAATCTGTGCAAAATACTTTTACTCTTTAAGTACATTTACATTTTTAAAGGGTATTATAATATTTGACTTACTTAAGTAGACTATTTCATGTCACGCTTTTACTTTTACTTTTTCTTTTGCTCTTGTATCTGTACTTTTACTGAAGTAACAAAATTTCACCTTTATGTAACAGATAATACTCCCTACAACTGTACAACAACCTACCCTTTTGTAACAGATAACCTTATGTCCTGTCAATAGTCATATTCATATCAACAAAATTTGGACTTAGACTTACACTTAGACAAACTTTATTGATCCACAAGTACATCTGTATGGAGTATGGTATGAATGTACTTTTACTTAAGTGACAAAATTTAGAACTTCTTTCTCCACTGCAACACACACATATCTATTCCTGAAAACATATCTGAGAATAAATTTAAGATGGTCTAACGCAGGGGTCTCCAACCTTTTTTCTCCGGTGAGCTATCATTACAAAACAAAAATGCCAGAGAGCAACTCATTTTAGAGGTCACAAGAAATTGAAACTATTATAAGAAAGAGGGCAAGTCTTGGGGTACAGTTAGATGCCTATAAAACATAAACCATTCTCCATTTATTAGTGCACAAAGTTGGGCTTCAAAATGATACATCAACAATGGTAATTAGGGGTGTCCAAAATATTGAAATATAAATATATCGTATTGTTTAATGTGATGGTACAGTATCACCAAGAGTATTATTTGGTATAGTTTACTAAAATATTTTGTCACAGAGCTACAGTTTTGTTGCTTGTTTAGTGGATTTGTGATTTGGATTGTGTTCTGTACTGTGTATATGTATACTAAAAGATTTAGGACATTTCCTTTCCTGCTCTCATAAAAGAGGATTTTTTGTTGTTGTTGTTGTTGTTTTCTGTAAATAGTTCTGCCATCTTGAATCCTGTTCTATATGTTAATGGGGTTTGGCAAAACAAGTGTTAAACTTCAGCCTAAACCCCTTCGGTCTGTAGAATAAGCTTACTGATATGCATTAACTGCATAATTAGTTTTTTGTTAAATCATTGTTATATGATGCATGCTTATGTTAACTGACCGAAGAAAATAAACTACTACTACTACTAGTGGAAGAAAACTCATTTATGTGACACATTTGACATTTTCACTAATTTTGAGGGTTAACTTTGCACAAGAATGAAATTGTTTCAAAGTGTTTGTTCACATACTTCTGTATAAAACTGAAAATCTTTAAATAAAGTGTTAAAAAAAAACAACAACTTTGCACAAGAAATGGTTTAACAAAGACTTTTAGTATCACAGTCAACATTTAGCCTTTATTTTTTTATTGAACCGTATCGAATCAATTTGAAATATATTGTATCGAATATAAAGCTCACTGTATCAAGCTTTCAATGTATCGTGGCCTATGTATCGAGGTACTCTAAATGATACCCACACCTAATGGTAATAGGCATGCAATTAACCACATTTTTGTTATTCAGCACAATGGTGTACTTCCAGAATCCCTTGGGGGGCTACTTGGAAGGGGTTGGAGCTCCTGAGGGACAGGTTGGAGACCCCTGCTTTTAGACTCTTATGCAAATATTTTGGTCATATTTTGTTGTTGTCATTGGTCCTCTTACTTTCCCTTTAAGTACAGTAGGCCCGGCAGTTTAGTCCCCGCCCCCTTTACGTGATCACCATGGCGACGACGCAGCGCAGGAGCTCACCCCCGCGCATGCGCCCCGGCACACGGAGAGGCAGCCGCTGGTGAGCGCTAGAGAGAGTCCCGCTCATCCCACAGCCAGAAACACCGTCAAACTGAGCAGACGGACGGCCGCCGCGGAGCTCCCCCCCCCCGGACAAAAACACGACAAAACAACGCCGATAACCCCTCCGACATTCCGCTCTTGTGGGACTTTTACAACAACATTAATGCCTCGAAAGTGAAGCGGGCAAGAGGAGGGCTCGTTGCTGTTCACCTTCCCGTCGGTGAGTGCTTTTTTTTCCGCAAGCTAAGCACCAACAACAGCAGCAGCGGAGCAATGGCCACTACCGTAAACGTCTTTTCTACCCAGCCGAACGCGTTTATTCACATATTTAACCACAAAAACACGTGTCATTGCTGTGCAGTATTTGCTCACACCTTCCCATTAGCTGTAAGTTGTAAATAATTTAGAATCAGCCGTGGATTTGTTAGATATCGTGGCGAAGCTTCTCAGTTTTGTCTGCCTTTGTAATAAACGTCGTATAATGTTTCGCACAGGTATTGCTTTCGTTATTACACGTATAGTTACGAGTCAAACCCCTTTATTTGAACTGTATATTTTAAGTTTTTTACCTTATGTGGCAATGTGTAAAGATGAATCACTTCACCAGTGTGTAATGTTTGTGTTTTGGTTGTTATTTCGGCATTTTCACGCACGATTTCTTTGTTAATATGAGCGTTTTCGCGTCGTAAACGTGGTGCAAACGTGTTGTTTTGACTTTTTCATCAAGGTAAGTGCTTGGTTAGCCTTTGTTGGTCTGGTTTGGTCTTTGTTTGCATGTGTGTAGGCAAGAGACAGCCCACCACAGTCTTTGTTTAAATAGCTCTCGGTACAGTTGCACGTGTCCATGCGTGTGACTGTGCCTTTTTAGATTCTGCTGTGATGGTATGTTAAGTTAGATCTCAAAACGATCAAATCACCCCCCCATCTAACAACATGGGAGTTTTATTTGCTATGCTTTGCCTGCTTGTCTACTTCCTTATTGTCTTTTCCAGTGAAGTTCCAGTAGAATCACATCACGTTGGCCAAGCTGGCATTTGGCAGTCTTCAAGCAATGCTGACTGGCTGGCTTGGTAGAAGCGACACAAAAGGACATGGCAGAGTGCAAGTGAAGGAGCTTATCGGCGAGTTTAAACAAATGTCAGGCGTGAATTGGGGAAAATCGAAGGGTTAAGAAGACAGGTCTCACAGGATCGAGTGTATCCTTGGCGGCAGATGTTGTCAAATCGAGTTACGTTCCCATTGTTGTTTACATTTTGCTTAGTACCATATGGTGATGTCAAAGGGCACTGTAGACAACACCAGCCAGTACTTTGTGGATATTTTCATCAAAAGTAGTCTTAACATTTTGGTTCAGCCCGCCGATTTTGACATTTTAACACCTTTAGCGCTAAAAGGTCAAGTTTAAAATATAAGTTGCGGTAACGATCTTGGTATTACAGCTGTCTAAATGAGCCATATTGAAATCGTTTTGGATATGTGAGAGGTCAGTGTTGATCGGCTTGCGTGATATCAAGCAAACGAAGCGCTGAACTTTTGCGATTACATGCTCTTCAGTATTACTAATGCGCTCCTCTTACCAGTGAAAGTCTTTCTTTGTTCTTAGCAGCCTCAAAGGATGTCAAGTTTTAATTTAATGTGTGTTCTAGTTGGGTTTATTGACTTAATAAATGCTGTATTGTGTAAAATCGCAAAATTTTCTCACACTCTGAATCGCAAAACAAAAAGCGTTATTATGATACCCCTACTAGTAGCTTTAGTTTGTGCTTTTTGCTGTTGCGTGTCATCGTTGTACAGTGGCATTTTTTATAATTCATGTAGCAGCTTTTGGGGGCTTTTAGTTTTCTGTCAGGCTTGTAGCAAACAGAAGTAGTCGTGTCTTCACTGTCCATTCTCTTTCGGACAACAGTGCCTCTCTTGGTCTCCGTGTCACTTTGATTACTCACTCGTCTTATCTCCATCATGTGATCCTCGGCTCTTCTTTTCTTGCCCGTGTTTCGCCTCCTGCCCGTGCCCTACTCCTCGCGGCGGCGGCGGTGGTACACGGGGATGCTCTGGTCTCTGCGCTGTAACTCGACATAATGCCGGCTAACAAAGGCTCCTTTCTGTGTCTCCTCCGGGTGCTCCCTCCTCCAGCGGGTCGCCGTACAGACTGGAGGGGTGGAAATATGCTGCTGGCTGTGGATGGCTCTGGCACACAGTGAGCTCTGTGTTCCCCGCTCCTTGGCTCCCTGTGCTTTCCAGGAGCAAGGCAGCTGAGACTCTGCAGTAGAAGCCCGCTGGCAGCCGCTTTGTCTGGCTGCTGCTGCTTCTTCACTCAGAGGATGCAGAGGTTCTACCCTAGGACCAAGCTAAAAAAAAAAAAAAAAACAGCGTGTCATGAGGTGACTTATCTTGACATATCGGCCTCAAATAGTTGATAAATGGATAGCTTTCAGACACCATGTTTTCGGTTCTAAAATAAGAACATGTATATCTAGTTTCATCTTATTTTTTTCTTATTTTTTCCCTTTATCGTCATCTTTTTGTGTGAATGGACTAACAGTATGAGAGCGCTGGAAGGCTGAAAGTGAGATTCATTCATGTAAGTGTTGTCACGATACTGACATTTCAAGCTTGATTTCAGTGCTACGAAAATATAATATATGAAATAATACCACAGTGATAATCAAAACACTATTTATTCTGTTCTTTTAATTACAAATTCTAATTTATTTTGAATATGCCAAACATGACACCGACGCAAAAACTACTCATATTAAACACCTTTTCCATTTTTGTAAAAGAATGAGTAATAGTGCAATACTTTTTTTCCACACGTCCTTTTACTTACATAGACATTAAAACGTTGATTAATGTGATTTCGATTTGAGTATGAATACTTGCTCAAATTAATTTCAGTACTAATTTTAGGATTCTGGATTTAATGTATTTTTTATTTATTTATTTTATGACAGCTCTACTAGCCCACCTGCGTTTTCATACCAGTGCCAAGATACTTACTGGAAGGCCAAAAAAGGAAAGGGGAAAAAAAAAGGAAAGAAAAATATAGTCCTGGCAACCCGTATTTATGCACTCTAAAAATATCTTTACCTTGTTTATATAAACGACACACATCCACATCCTTAATCTTAACGTAATCCTAATTAAAGTTCACTTCTACCAAACATCTTCTCGTGTTACAGCACAAACCCGAGCTCAAATAACATGTTCTGAAATACAGATAAGTGTATTCCACAAATCTACAGTATGACACGACTTCTCACAACACAAGACTCTCTCTGCTTCTCCGCACGCTCCCAACTTCAGAGCCACTTTGTTCCAGTGTATTTTCCCAGAGAACCCAGAGAGCTGACACATCCAGGCCTGTTGGCAGCCGAGAACGCCGCTCCTGCCTCTTCACGTTTTCTTTTATCAACTCAGATTAGGTGACATGGAGATAGACAGGCTGATTGTGAAAGCAGGTCTAACCCAAATTGAGTTTTCATTCGGTTAACTAACAGGGCATGTCTGAATAAGATACTACAGGAAGTCTGCAGCATCAGGAAGCTGTATGTTTACAGTAACATGCGAACCTTTGTTTTATTGCATTGCGTTTCGTGTGTGTTGAGTGTGGAGAGTAGGACTGCACAGTTTTGGTAACAATTGTGATATGCATTTTGAACTATGGCTATTAATTATTGCAATAGTTTCAAAAATCAGATACTAATCAATACTCAAACTGGTATCAAAACTAAAGGAAAAGAATTACACAGCTCTAAAACCACGATTTAATGTTGAAAATTACATTCTTTTGTCTGTTGTCATGGTATCGGTATTGAGTATCGAGTCTATTTCTTAGTATCGAAATTTTAGTATGTGTGTTATTTTCCTTGTCAAAAATAAAGACTTAATATAGACAAAAACTAAATTAAATCAAGACTAATTCAAAACGAAGTACGGAAAATAGTAGGGGTGTAACGATATCCAAGTCTCACGATACGATACTGTCACGGTATGAACCTCACAGTACAATATTTCTTGCGATATTGTGGGAAAGCTCACGATATCAAATGTAACAATATCCTAATCTCTCGGTACGATATTTTCACGATATACATCTCACGTTACGATATTTATTGCGATATTTTGTGGAGGCTGCGAACAAAACTGTTAATATGCTTCTTTTTCCTCTTAAAGTGTCTTGACGAGACTTAATCGAAAGACTTAAAAGTGCTTAGAGCTGTTATTTCTTCTTCTAGTCTGCACTGAAATGGAGCAAAGGATCATGGTCTATGTAGTTCCCTCTGTCTTTTGTTTAGCTATTGCTGCACCATAACTCTTCATTTAAGCAAAGAGACTTGTAATTCGATATATTGTGATTGTCCACGATATTATTGTGAGAACTTTGACGATACGATATCACGATATTTCTGTTATTGTTACATCCCTAGAAAATAATAAATGAAATCTGCCCTTTTCATTTGAAAACATATTTTCTTCTGTCAGATGGAGAATCTTGATATTTAGCTTGTTGCTTTATCAGCCAATATTGCGATATCGATACCTCTGCGATTTCTTGTGCAGTCAAATTGGAATTTGAGTCGAATGAATTGTCTATTGTCTCATTAAAATGTTTCTCGTGCTGTTGAATTCAGTCTCCACGTTTCAATGCAAGATGCTAATTAAATTATGGTTTAGTTCAGTTCAATTTATTTTTGTAAAGCCCAAAATCAACACAGCAGCCGCACAGCAGGGTTTCTCAAAACTGTTGATTTAACCAGCAGAAAGTTAGAAAATCAAACATCGGTCATTCACAGACAAGCAGATGAACCAACATTCACTGGAAACAAGCAAACGGAGAACTCTCACAGAGCTTCCACTGTCCTTAGACCTTTCTTCACTGCAAGTAAAACCTACAAACACCCAGGTGTCCATTGATTTTATTATTTGTGCTGGAGGGTTTGAACTTTGTGTCAGTTTTTGTTTTGTGTCTAAAAGCAAAGTCAAGTGAAGTATTTCTCAGCGCATTCCAAGTGCCAAAAAACTGTAAAACTTTCAGGTCATTTTGACTTTTAGGACAGAACTGAACCCGCCTCTCGGTCCTTTAAATGAAGTTAGATTATCTCAAAGTGTCACATTCAGATACTAATTGTTATTAAAACTAATATCGAAACTAGATACTCATTTGAGCAAGTATCAATACTACAAAATACAACAATAAAACACCTTCCTGACCAGTTT